ATTTTTTCATAAAATTTTTATTCATATTGTATTTTCTAGTTCAGTTGCAAAAATAATACTTTGTGATTTCTTTAATTTCTGTGTTATCTGTAATAATTTTAGTATTTTCCTTCTTATTTTTGTTAATTATATGGTCCATAACAATCGATTTACGCTGTCTATTCAAAATACTATTAATTATTCTTTTTGAATTTTCTTTAAGATTTTTTTATCATCATTCAACCTCTTGTACTTGTTTTAGTGTTTCTTTCTTTTTTTCTACTCTTGCAATACTTTGAAAATTAAGGCTTGCTTTTCTTAATATTTCAATTAAATTTTTACATGTGTTCTATTCTTCAATAATTTTTTTAATTTCAAAATTAAGTATGAACAACTTGTATATTTTTCTCTTAAAAATCATATGATTTTTTATATATGACAACATCAGGAAATTTTTCGGGCATAAATTTCTGTAACACAAATGGGACCCACGGAAATTTACGTCTAACAATTCAATTTTTTTGACTTTGGTCACAATTTACGAGACAGGAAGTGATTTTATACTAAGGTGTTTCTATAACAGATCGAAAGCTCTAGTTCTTGGCTACAAGATGATATGTAAATTATTCCTGTAGTATCGATATCCGCGGAAATATTCACGTTTAAATCTTGAACGTCGTGAAAAATTCGGTGTAAATTTTCCGTAAATTTTTGTAATTCTGCCAGAAATTTTCATTACATCACAATAAATTTCCAGCAGAATTACGAAAATTTACAGAAAATTTACGCCGAATTTTTCACAGACGTTCAAGATTTAAACGTGAATATCTCCACGGATATTGTGCTACAGGAATAATTTACATATTATCTTGTAGCCAAGAACCAGAGCTTTCGATCTGTCATAGAAACACCTTAGTAGAAAATCGCTTCCTGTCTTGTAAATTGCAACCAAAGTCAAAAAAAATTGAATTTTTAGACATAAATTTACGTGGGTCCCATCTGTGTTATGGAAATTTACGTCTCGAAAAATTTCCTGATGAAAGATTTAGCTTTTTCTTTTTGATGAAATGATATATTTGTTAAGACTTTTTGCTTTTTTTATATTTTCAGCAATATTTCTATTTATTTTTTTATTATACTTCTTTTTTCTCTTTTTTGATATTACATGATCAGTACCTTCGATCATAATATTTTTAAGAGTTTTTCATGTTTTTTTCATGGAGTTTGTTGATATCCCATATCTCCTTCTCCTTTTCTCTATTGTTGATATATTGATTTTTTGCTTTATATATTCTGTAAATTTTAGCCATTTTTCTTCATATATTATTTTAATATTATATTTAGGACCATTATTTATACTCTTCAATTTTTTCTTACAAATTTGTCAATTTTTTCTAATTTTGAGTTCTATCAGTTTATGATCACTTTCTGTAATTAAATTTAGATTATTGATATAACATAAGTCCATTTTTTTTTCCTATTTTTCTGACATCCATATTGTATCAATACAGCTTTTTGCTGATGAATTATCTCTTTATCATGTAAAACCACTAGATTCAGGATAAATTATTCTATAATAATCGATGAGTTCTCTACTAGTTAGAAATAGAAAGATTTTATTTTCTAGTATCTGTGAAACTCTATATTCTTAGTTTTAATATTACTTAATAATATTTTTATTAATACTTAAGTAAATAAAAACTTATATATGTAGTAACCTTTAATGATTATTTCAAAAACTTTTTAATTCAATTTATTATAATAATTTATTTATTAATATTTTGTGAGATAATTTTTAAATTCAATAACAGTAGCAATATGATTTGACATACTATTAACAAGATTATTATATTTATCTTTTTCAAGTTTAAGTCATTCTTTCTGTAAAATTTGTTATAAATTATTTTTATTTTTGAATAATAGTTTATATAATCCAACTTTTCTATCTAATTTATTCTATAAATTTTTTATTAGATTTAAATCTGAACTTTATATGGGCCATAGAAAATTTGTAATATTATTATTTTACTTTTGTATTTTTGTTATTTTTGCAATATGAATTGAAACATTATCTTCTTAAAAATATAATTATCATTATTTTTTAAACTATTTATAAATAGAATTAGATTGTTTTCTAATATATCTATATATATTGCTACTATTATTCTACCTTCTAATCTAATTAATGGTTCAGGCTTATTTTTTATAAAACAATTTCAAATTATTACACTTTTTTATTCTGATTTAAAGTTAAAATAAAATATTTTGTATTATATTTTTCTTAAGAATTTTTTCAAATATGATTTCTATTTTTATCATATACTTTAAATCTTAATTTATTACTTCAAATAATATTTTTCTACTTATTTATTTAGTTTTTTCATATTTTAGCCTAATTTAACTCTTTTATTTTATTTGTAACATTTAACAAAAAGTTTTTTAATTTTAATTTTTCTATAAATTTTATTCTTATAAAGATGTTTTTTAAGAGTAATTAAATTTATATTTGTTACAGTAGAAGAAATAAAATTTTTATATATTTCTTTAATATTAGTTCTACAATTTTTATTAAAAACTTGTATTAAGTAATTATTATTTTTTTCAGTTAAAATATATGGTCAACTGCTTCGAACAGTTTTTTTTTCTAATTCATCTTCTTGGTAAGTTGAAATAACATTATATACTATACTTTTTGAATATTTTAATATATCAATTATTTTTCTTTCAACAATACTACATTTCCAAGTACCTGTTATTTCATCACGTTAAAATTCAATAAGTTTTTTATGTTGAATATATACATGTTCCCAAAATTGATTTTGGATTTTTGAAGTATTTTAACTTTTTAAGATTTATGCAGAATCTATTCTATATATAGAGGTAAAAAAAGTATACAGTTATATGTATATTCAATCAAAGAATAAATCCGGGTAATCAAAAAATTTCAGGTTTTAAGTAAAATAATTTTGTCTTCTATGAAAAACTATTTCTACTTTTTTTTCGAAATTATAATTTTGGGGTTCCAAAATAATTTTGTGTACAAGTATAGTTGAGTAGTTATTTTTTATAAATTTATTTTTTAAAGAAATAAAGTGCAAAATATAATTTAACTAGTAAATTCAATTAAAATCAATAAATTATTAATTAAAAAATAACTAAAATCTTTTTAAATAATTATAAGTTATATTATTTGTAAACAATATAATTTTATCAATACATTGTAATATTCTGTATATTGTTATAATTTTATTTTTAACTGTATATTTTAATTTAAAACTACATAATATTATAGTAACTGTATATTTCATTTAAAACTATACATATGCAATATCATATTATTTGTATATTTTAACATAATTAATTAGAATAAAAAGTTTGAAGTTATAAAAGTTTTTATTTATTTAAATACTAAAAATAATACTAAGTAATATTAAAGATAAGAATATATTGAATCTTATATAAAGTTTTCAGGTACATTTAATCAAAATTGAGTGAATAAATAATGATTGAATTTTAGAGAATAATTTTCAAATGTCCAGTGTTCAACCATTAATATTAAATTCAATTTGTAAGCAAAATTCTAAAAACTTCAGAAATAATGCTCCTTATTCTTTGCTATAAGATTAATTAGTAACATATTTGATAGTTTATTAGTAAATAATAAACTTTTATATGTAGAAACTTTTGATAATCATTTTCGAATTTTTAGAATATATCAATGTCGATCATTTTATCATTGATATTTTTTAAAAAATCTGAAAAAAATTCCGAAAATTATTATCGAAAGTTATTACATATAGAACTTTATAATTTACTAATAAACTATTAAATATGTTATTAATTAATCTTATAGCGAAGAATGAGGCACATCATTTCTGAAGTTTTTAGAATTTTTATTAACAAATTAAATTTAATATCAATGGTTGAACACTAGATGTTCGAAAATTATTCTCTAGAATTCAATCATTTATTTGCTCAATTTTAATTAAATATATCTGAATACTTCATATATAATGCTTTGTATTCTCAGCTTTAATGTTATTTAGTACTTTTTTTATTGTTAAATTAATAAATAATAAAGTTTTATATGTGTAAACGATTGACATTGATTTTCGAATTATTTTCTTATTTTTAATAAATTTCGACCGTTTTTATTCACGTCTAATTAAAGTCGAAATTTTCACTAGATACTATGAAAAATTCTTCTAATTAATATTGTAGATATTATTCTTGGCTACAATTTTATATAAGATATTTGGTATCTATCTTTAAAATCCATTGAATTCGGTATGGGTAACGTTCAAAGATTAAATTTTTATTTTTGTTAATTTTATTTGAAGCGTAATTTCTCTATGTATAGACATTCAATTTTAACACAAAAATATATCATATGATATTCCTGATTTAGGGTGCGATTTAGATCACCCGTTGTGTCACGATTAGCATTTAATTTTTTTATTAATTTTTGTTGCCCCATGACTTTTGGCACCCCACTGTAAGTGCAGGGATTTACTGATTTAGGAAGGTAAGTAAATCCTTTCAATCATTATATTGAATAAAAAAATCATATACTCTCTGTCCATCCATCAATATGTTATGTATAAAAATATTTTACAAAGTGTATAAATACAATTTTATTTTAATTCTTTCTTTTTTTTTTGTTTCTATAATATATATAAATATATATAAATATAATAAAATATGATATATAAATATAATATAATATCAATAAAAAGTTGAAAATTGTTTTTTATTATTATTAAAAAATGGTGAAAATGGTGAAATCATCCAAATATATATACATACATATATACATACATACATACATACATACATATGTGTACATATATATATATAATAAAAAAATAGAAGAAACTCCCCGAAAAATAAAATATAAAAATGAAGATTAAATATATTAAATTAAAACCTGAATGAAATATACATTTATATATATTGATATGAAATAAAAAAAAATTATCTAATTATAAATATACTTTTTAAATAAAAATTTGAATCAAGCGTCATAGTATCATACATTGACACTTTGGTGCATTGTCCGAAGATTTTGGATCTTTGATAAAATGTAAAATGAAATAAAATAAATATAAAATAAATATAAAAAATAAATACAAATAAATAAATACAAATAAATAAATACAAATAAATATAAATAATAAATATAAATAATAATAATGATGATAAAAGTGAAACTTACCATCGTTATCAAGTTGCATTACATCCTTTATGGTTAAATGTGCAATTGTTGGTTGACCACATGGAATTTTATTGGCTAGAAAAAAAGATATTAGAAAAAAAAAATATATTATATATATATATATTTATATAAAATTAATTATTACACATTTAAGCAAATAATATTGTCTTCTTACATTCGAGCGTTTTCCATTCGTCAAGAAATCGTCCTCGATATACAATTTTTAGGCATGAAGCTGCCGCCGGAGTTTCTTCGGCCCATTCTAGAATAATAATAATAATAATAATAATAATAAATTTAATGAAAATATATATAATTGTTGTCATTACTAAATTATTATTCTTCTCTCTCTTTGACAATCAAATCAAATCAAATCAAATCAATTAAATTAAAATTAAATATTTCAAATTAAAATTAAATATTTCAAATTAATTAATTAATTGATTTAATCAATAAAATCAGATATACATAATCGATAATTTAAAAAAAAAAAATTTTTTTTTTACCCTTAGGCCAATCATTAAAGAGAATATTTATAACTGTTGTTACTGTGTCATTTGGTGAAAAAAAAAAAGTATGTCGTTTCCCTGAAACCAAAAGTAAGGTCAAAGAAATTTTATCATTTGAAATATTATCTGTTATTGTTGTTGTCGTTGTTGTTGTTGTTGTATTTATATTTGTATTTGTATTATTATTATTATTATTATTATTATTATTATTTAAAGTTGTTAATGTTGTTGGTATGAATAACGATGAAGGGGTAGTTGAAATATTGGTGGTAGTGGAATCACTTCCTCTTCCACTACCTCTTCTTTCTCCTTCTCCTTTCGAATGAGGAGAAGTTTTTTTAACTGGTTGTGATTGCTGTGAGGTAGTCGTCGTAATGTTACTATTATTACTACTACTAGTGGTATCGGCTATATTAAGATTTTTGGGTACAATCGTTGTGGTAGTCGTTGCGGTTGTAGTTGGTTGTGATGAATCGGCATTGAGACTACTACCCTGAAAAAAAGAATGAGATTCGGAGTGTGCCATTTTTTATTTTTAAATTAATTAATTTTCAGAATGTAAATGAGAATTTGAGGAAGAAAGAAAAGAAAGTAGAAATGTTTAAGGTAAAAGGTATAATTAAGTGAACAAATAATGTTAATCATTAAATCATTATGTATCACCCCATATGCATCATATTACATATCTATATTACATATATATTTTATATAAATATATTTTTTTTTTTTTTCGTGCGTGTGTGAACGAATAAATAAAATTTAAATAAAATTAAATAAATTTAAATAAAATTATATATATATTTTTTTAACAAATCGATATAAATAAAGATAATAGAAAAGGCGTTTATTATTATTACAATAATGGAAGCAAGATCTAAAACGTATCAAAAGGAAGAAGTAGAAGCAGCAGAAATTATCAAAAGTAATGAAAAACAAACTAATACTAAAACTATTATTACACGTAATAATAATATTACCACCGCCACCGATACAACTAATATTGATAGTAGTAGTCGGAGTACAACAAGTGATACAACAAGTAAAAGAATTAAAACAGCCAATAACAGTAGAACCACTAAAACTAAAACTAAAAGAACTACAAGTAGTGCCGTCTCACCAGAACGCGAAGATATGTTTCCAATTCGACTTCAAAACGTTTCAAAGCTCGTAGGTGCTCACGTTAGTATTGGTGGAGGTATCCAAAATTCGATTATTAATAGTTTAGCTATTGGGTAAGTTTTGTTTTTTTATTTTATTTTATTTTATTTTATTTAATCTATTGATTATCACGTGATGTAAATCTAATATATTTGATACATACATGCAGAGCAAATGCATTTGCATTATTCCTTCGTAATCAACGTACTTGGAAATCTTCACCATTAGATTCCAAAGTTATCACCGCATTTCGAGAAAAATGTATCGAAAATAATTATCAGCCTAACTGTATATTACCTCACGGAAGTTATTTAATAAATTTGGGTAATCCTGATAAAGCCAAACGAGAAAAAAGTTATGAAGCATTTTTGGAAGATTTAAAAAGATGTGAATCTTTAGGTATTGAAAGATATAACTTTCAGTAAGTATCTCAATTCAATTTATTAATATTTAAGATTTAAAGATTATTTATTTATTTTTTTTTTATTATTGATTATTGATTATTTTCATATTGATATTTTTTTTTTTATTATTTATTTATTTTTTATTTTAATTTTTTTTTTTATTGTTTATTTGTTTATTTATTTTTATTATTTATTTATTTACTAAAAGTCCGGGATCTAGTGTTGGAGGATGTTCAACTGAACAATCCATAATATATATTGCTGAATGTATTAATCAAGCACACCAGGAAACAAAGAATGTAATTTGTGTAATTGAAAATATGGTAAATTATTATTATATTATTTAGATCTGTTTGTTTTTCTTTATTTGGGGAAAGATGAATAAATATATATATTTTACAGGCTGGTTCGGGAAATGTTATTGGATCAAAATTTAAAGAATTGGCTGATATCATTACTCGGGTCAATGGTAAATAAACAAATAAATAATAATATTATTATTATTTCTTTTTCTTTTTTTCTCATTTAAATTAATAAATTTTTATTATAATATAATTTTAAGATAAAAATCGAGTGGGAGTCTGTATCGATACATGTCATGCGTTCGCAGCGGTAAGTTTCAAATCAGAATAAATAAGTTTGATTTAAAATAATTAAAATTAATTACCAAATAATGAAAAAAAAAACAAATAAATATTTAAATAATCAATATTTTAAATAAATAATAATAAAATAATTTAGGGATATGATCTTCGTACAAGTAAAACCTATGAAGAAACCATGGAAAAATTTTCGAAAATCGTTGGATTTAAATATTTAAAAGGGATGCATTTAAATGATTCGCTTACCGATTTAGGATCCAATCGAGATCGTCACGCCAACATTGGAAAAGGTTATATGGGTTTAGAACCATTTCGATTAATAATGAATGATGATCGATTAAATGGAATTCCTTTAATATTAGAAACTCCAACAGAACAAGGTGATGAATATCAAAAAGAAATTGAATTACTTTATGAACTCGTAGGTAAATCCAATTTATCCCAAGTTAAACTTCCAAAAGATTTTGTTCAAGGACAACAAGTGAATGGAAATGGGAAAAGAAAAGGGGGTAATAATAATAATAAGAAACAAAGTACACTTGATTTTGGAAATAAGAAGAAGAAAGATGATTCCACGGACGAAGATTAATTTCGTAGTCTATTACATAGTGAATAAAGAAAAGTTACTAGAAGGTTAAATCTTTAATTCTATTAATTCTATTGGAGACCGATATATTATATATCCTATATATATAAATAATATATATATAATAAAATATATGGTAGTGTACAGTATAAAAAAAAATGAATACAATAGTAAAATACGCCAAAATCTTATTCAAATTATCTGAATTACTAAAATAGGAATTAATGTAATACCAGATGATTTCAATTTAACATCAAATTTTTTGATAATCAAAAAAATCAAAAAGATACATTTTTGCATATTTGTATATAATGATAAAATAATAAAAAATATTCTTTTTATCTAAGAATAAATTAAGATTTATCAGATTTTTAAATCGATATCAATCTTAGATAATGTAATTGATTAATTTATCTGTTCATTTTGTTCATTTCGTGTGAGATAAATTAAATGATGATAATAAATATTTATCGTTAATAATAATAATAATTATTATTATAAATATAAAACAAAATCAAAGGTATCTATATTTTTTTAAAAAATATTTCTTTTTTTTTCTTAAAAAAAAAGTATTTTTTTTTCTTTTAAAATTTTTATTTACTAAAAAAAAAAAATTAATTTAATAATAATAATATGTTAACATCAAAAGTTTTTAGAAGAAATAGTCAAAATGTTAAAAATTTATATAATTCAAAATGTAACTCCAAATTTAATAATTGTCAAAAACAATTACAAATACTTAAAATCATAAATTCAAAACGTTATTATTCAAATAACTCACCCGTAAATGAAAAGGTAGGGTAATAATCTCTATTTTTATTTTTATTAATCAATCCCAATTCTTTTTTTTAATTTTTAATTTTTAATTTTTTAATTAATATTATTTCGATTAATTATTAAAAATTAAATAGGACACAATAGTTAGACTACTTTATAACATTGGTTCAAAAATGGAAGTACAACAATACCTTCGACATTTTTCTTCCGTTGAATCACAAAAATTTGCTGTAATAAAAGTTGGAGGTGCTGTTCTTTCGGAAGACTTAGATAATTTGGCTTCATCTTTGACTTTTCTAAATCGGGTTGGATTATATCCAATCGTATTACATGGTGCCGGTCCTCAACTTAATAATTTATTAGAAAAGTCTGGTATTGAACCTAATTATATTGATGGTATTAGAGTAACTGATACCAAAACTTTGGAAATTGCTCGTAAATTATTTTTACAAGAAAATCTTAAATTGGTGGAAGCTTTAGAACGTTCGGGAACTCGTGCTAGACCTATTCCTGGTGGTGTATTCATAGCGGATTATTTAAATCGAGAAAAATATGGTTACGTAGGTGAAATTATTGATGTACGTAAAAATGTGGTAGAAGCTAGTGTTAAGGCGGGTGCTTTACCAATTTTAACTAGTTTAGCGGAAACTCCTTCTGGTCAAATTTTAAATGTTAATGCTGATGTGGCAGCTGGTGAATTAGCGAGAGTACTTGAACCTTTAAAAATTATATATTTAAGTGAAAAAGGTGGTCTTTTACATGGTGAAACTAATCAAAAGATTGATGTTATAAATCTTGATGAGGTAATTTTTTTTTCCCATTCCTTTTCCTCCTAAATGAAATCCCCTTTCTCACTTAACTTACTTCCTTTTTTCCTTTTTTTTTTTTTTTTTTTTTAATAATTTCTAAAATTTCTAAAAAGGAATATGAAAATTACATGGCACAACCTTGGGTTAAATATGGAACTCGATTAAAACTTAAAGAAATCAAGGAACTTCTTGATTGTTTACCTCGAACATCTTCAGTAGCAATTACTGCTACTGATAAACTTCATAAAGAACTTTTTACTGCTTCGGGAGCTGGTACTTTGATTCGTCGTGGTTATCGTCTATTTAAATTTAATTCAGTAAATGAATTGGATAAAGAGAAATTACAAAAATTATCACAAGTTCAAGTCGGATCTTCTTTATCCAGTAATAAAGTTGATTTAAATTCATATGTTCAAGAACTTTCCAAAAGATCTCATACAATATATAGTGATGAACCTTATGAAGTTTTAGCAATAATTTCACCCGAAAACGAAAAGATGACAAATAATAATAATAATAATCATCAAATTCCATTTCTAGAAAAATTCATTCTTACAAAGAATAGTATATTAAATAATGTAATCGATAATATATGGACAATGATAAGAAAGGATTATCCAAAATTAACTTGGATTGTAGATGATCATGATGAAATTAAGTCATGGCATTTTGAAAAATCTGATGGTAGTTATACAATGAATGGTAAAACTTTGTTTTGGTATGGAATTGAAAATATTGATGATGTTTCTAAGGTTATTGCGGATTTTATAAATGTACAATCTGTACCTTTATCTCAACAACAACAACAACAACAACTTCCACATTTATCAAATAATTCTACCATAACAACTTCTCCATTTCCTTCATTATTTCAAAAGAATCAAAAAAATGGAAATGCATTTATAAATTCGAATCGATTATATTCTACACTTTCAACTTTCTCAAATTCACCCACCAAAGTTGCATTAATCGGTGCACGTGGTTATACCGGACAAAATCTTATATCATTAATTGATAAACATCCTCACATCTCATTATCTCACGTTTCATCACGGGAATTGGAAGGTCAAAAACTTGAAGGATATAATAAAGGAAATATTAAATATGTTAATTTGAAATTAGATCAAATTAAAGAAATGCAAAAGAATCATGATGTTGATTGTTGGGTGATGGCTTTACCAAATGGAATCTGTTCCCCATTTGTTCAAGCTGTTGGTGAAGGTCAAAAAGAACAACAAAAAAGTGATAAGAGTGTAATAGTTGATTTAAGTGCTGACTATCGTTTCACTAATGAATGGACTTACGGTTTACCTGGTAATTTTATTAATTTCTTATTAATTTCTTATTAATTTTATTAATTTTATTAATTTTTATTAATTTTATTAATTTTGGTAATTTTATTGATTGATTTTTTTTATTCTTTTATTCTATAGAACTTAATGATCGATCAATAATTAAAGAATCTTCCAAAATTTCAAATCCCGGATGTTACGCCACGGGATCTCAACTTGCCATTGCACCATTATTACCATACCTAAAAGAAACACCAACCATTTTTGGAGTTTCCGGTTATTCGGGTGCAGGAACCAAACCATCACCTAAAAATGATCCAAAATTTATTAAAGATAATTTAATTCCTTATACTTTAACTGATCATATTCATGAAAGAGAAATTTCTTTTCGTTTAGGTAGAAATGTAAATTTCATTCCTCATGTGGCTCCTTGGTTTCAAGGAATTAGTTTAACCGTTAATATTCCTTTATCAAAATCTTTTAAATCTTCGGAAATTCGTGAATTATATGAACAAAAATATGTTAATGAAAAACTTGTTAAAGTTACTGAAGAGATACCATTGGTTAAAGATATTTCCGAAAAACATTTTGTAAAAATTGGTGGATTTGGAGTTCACTCTTCAGGAAAAAGTGTGGTAGTAATTGCAACCATTGATAATTTGTTGAAAGGTGCTGCAACTCAAGCTTTACAGGTTGGTTTGTTTGTTTGTTTTATTTCGTTGGTTCACTATATTATTATATTTGCTATATTATTATATTATTGATTTTTTTAATATTTTATTGATTTTTAACATTTTATGATTAATTTATTTTTTTCTAGAATATGAATCTCGCCTTTGGATACGAGGAATATGAAGGCATTTCTTTAGAATGAATGAATTTTGGGGGGGTTTTCTTGACTTGTATTTTTTCTCATTTCAATTGTAAAATTATTAATTCAATTAAAATATTAAATTATAAAAATAATAGTAATAATAATAATAATAATAATAATAATAATCGTCATTATTAATATTTAATTATCATTCCTCAAAATATAAAAATTATTATTCTCTAACGTTTTAAAAATGATTTAAAAAACAAATATTATATCACAATAGATTGTATCAATGAATCAATGCATAAAATGTTACAAAAAAAAAAAATGGATGAAAGTCATTGAGTTCCTCGTTATTACAATAATTTTACTATATTTAAACTTTATCATCATTCTCCAAAAAGACGTTGTACACGTTTCAAAACGCTATCTTTTTCCGGATCTAAACGATGAAAAAAAAAATCAATAATTCAATTATTTATTATTATTATTATTTTTTTAAACAAAAACAAGATTAAACATATCGATTGGATCAATAAATAAATATTACCATATTGATGATCTTTAGATGGAATTTCTAATACAGTTGGAAAGGCTTGATCATGATCATCTACCAACTGACGAATATCTTCGGCGATCTAATAATTTTTTTGTTAAACGAAAAATTATCGAAAATTAATTATTAAATATTTTAAAAGAAATCATAATAATAATAATAATAATAATAATAATGATAATAATAATGAAACTATTTACGTGTTGATTAATAAGTACGATAGCGATATCTTTTCTTTTAGTAAACTCAATAAAGGTTTCTTCTATTTTTGATATTGTTGTTTCTTAATAATAAGAGATAATAAGAATTAGAAAATAATGAGAATAATAAGAATAAGTATAATAAGAATGAATAATAAATTAAATTTTCTTCTTACTAGAATCAACAACTAAAAAATTCTTTTTAGCACCTTCGACGTGACCTATACCAGCTAATAAAAGTCCTGTAACTGAGTCCTTTTTTTTTTGAATTCAAAAATATTTCTTTCAATTAAATAAAAAATAAATAAAAATAAAAATAAAAATAAAGGAAAAATAATATATTTAAAATATTTATGATTTCAATTATTTTTTTACCTCGTCACCTATTACAGCTATAAAATTGCGATCTTTATAAGCGGTTTGACTTGTCATGATTTATATGATTAATGATTTTCGGGGGGGGGAAGTCATTTATTTATATATTTGATTTTATACCTGATTTACTTTATTTATGCTTTTATCTAATGCACATCTACTTTTTATTTATACTTTATCTACTTTATTTATTAATTATCAAAAAAGCACATCGTACATCAAATGTTAAATAAAATAAAATAATAAAATAATAAAATACAACGATGAAATAATCGCTGATCATTTAATCTCATCTTAATATATATATATATTAAATCAAGGTTTATTTTTTTTTTAGAACAGCTATCACTTAAAAAAAAAGACTAACAAATGAAATAAAATGAAATGAAATGAAAAAGATATTCAAAGGAATATCTAATGCAAAAAAAAAAAAAAAAAATCCCCTCCCAAATATTTCTCTAACGCATAAGATATCTATCTACCCAACCTTTAACAAAAAGACTCACTTTCATGAATTTTTTTGTAGAATATTTTTTGAATAACTGTTGATATCTCATAGGTTTTGATAAATATTCAAGCATCATCATTACACATGGCTGAAGTTCATTTTCGGTAAATGTTGAATAATGAACTAAATTCGCATTCTAATAAATGATGAGTTAAGAAATTAATGTTAATATATATATATATATATATGTATGTATAAATAATGTATGTATGTTATAAACAATTATAAATTCATGAATTAATAAGAAATTAATAGAATTAATAGAAAATAATAATATAAAAATTCAAATTTACTAACCCATTCACTTTTATTAAGCATTTTTCTAGCCAAATATAAAGCTGATGCTGCGATATTAGATGGTGTTGAAGATATGAATCGATGATCAACAAGTGATATCTCCATAAGATATTTGGCAATAGTTCTAGATTCAACATCGAATTCATCAGCTTTGGAAACTCGTCGAAGAAAATTTAGGGGATTTGGGTAACAAAGTTTATAATCTATTGAAGTAAGAACATATCTTTCAGCCTTAAGAATTTCATCCTCGGAGTATCCATTATCAGCCATATAAATAAAATTTTTGACTGAAGGTGCAATCATTTCTTCATATTTTGATGCAATAAATAATCCCGTAATACCAACTAATTGAAGTTTAACTAATGCAACAGCACGAACGGAAAGAAATCGATCCACGATATTAATAGCCAAAAACAAGGTTTCTGGAAGTAATCGAAACTTATTATGTATTTCGATTAACCAATCCACAAGAATCCCTCGCATTTTCCAACTTAACTCAGTTTGGGTTTCCATATAATTAGGATTAGCCATCGTTTGGGTCTGAAGATATAATAAATAATAAAAATAATAATTAATAATTTATAATTTATAATTTATAATAATAATTAATAATAATAAATAATATAATATTATATCACATCTCATTTTTTTTTTTGATTTAATTTTTTATAATTTTTTTTTATAATTACCTCTAATTCTTTAAGATATTCAAAAATATCTGGGGCATACTCTGATATCATCATGGGATCATTGGCTTCAATCGCGTCAAGGTCATCCCAATCCTGAGTTTTGAGTTTCCTGATTTGATCCAGATCAGCTTCAGTAAGAACATGTTGATAAGGATTTTGATAATTATTTTGATTTTGATTTTGATGAGGATTTTGATTTTGATGAGGATTTTGATAACTTTGATATCTTATCATTCCGGGATTGACATGATTAACTTGTGGTACGACGACACGTTCTGTAAAGAGCTGTTTGACTACTGGTGGTGGTGGTGGTGGTGGTTGTACAATTGGTCGTGCAATTGATTGTGTAATTGATTGTGATGCAACTGGAACGTTAACACGTTCTGTGAGTACATTACGTTTTCTTGCGGCAACACCATTATTGACTACTTGTGGTGGTGGTGGTGGTGGTGGTAATGGTGCAATTGGTTGTGATAAAATTGGAACATTAACACGTTCCGTGAGGACATTACGTTTTCTTGCCGCAACACCATTATTAAATTGCTTTGGTTGAATATAAGATTTGACATTGTGAATATTGTTTGGATTATGAATATTGCTTAGATTACGAATATTACTTGGATTGTGAATATTATTACTTGGATTATTACTTGGATTAGGAATATTACTCGGATTGGGGATATTACTTGTAATATTACTTGTATTTTGAATATTATGAATATTGTGAATATTGTTAGGATTTTGAATATTGTGAATATTACTAGGATTTTGAATATTGTGAATATTGCTAGGATTTTGAATCTTGCTAGGATTGTGAATATTACTCGGATTATGAATATGAATATTGCTGGGATTGTAAATACTGTTGGGATTGTGAATATTGCTTAGATTATGATTATTGTGAGATTTATTTAAATTACTAACATCATCTAATGCAACTCTTTTGCGTGTAATTGTCGTTGTCTTTTTGTTATTTATATTAAATAGCGATTCACGTGTAGCAGTAGTTTTCGAAGCAGCAAGTTGTTTTGGTACCACAACTTGTTTTTGTGAAAGAACTTGTTTTGATACATTGGATGTAATAATATTTGAAGTTGCAACGTTCTCGTCACCTGTAAATATCACTTTACGAGGTAAAATCTAAAAATATCAAAAAAAAAAAAAAAATACATGAAATTATATTATCTAAAAAAAAAAATACATAATGCCCCTCGCTAAAGCCATACCTCCCTTGTAATAATAATAATATTAATAAATTCCATTTAATTCTATTTCCCATTTCTAAATATATCAGGTTTATGTTCTGTCTTCATACAGTTTAGCGGAAGGCATCATGCATTCATTAATTAATTCAAAAGAATCTTTTTGTTAAATACCTGCTTCTTTCTAATTGGGTTACCCGCGTTAATATTATTATTCGTATTGTTCATGTTCATATTGTAATAAATGTTTAAAATGGTGCAAAAATTATATGTCGTCTAAAAGTATTAATAGGTGTTTAAAAATTTAAGGTTACATCCTAATTCTAGGAAAAACTAAATTGATAGAAATCTAATTGTCAAGGATTTGCTTACAGATTAGAGTTGCCTTAGACACTCTGACTTTTAAAAAAATAGGCAAAGTTGTAAACTCGCCTTCCTTACTAACCGTATTCAGACAGTTTGGCTTGTTACTGTAACGTTAAAAAGTGTGGCTATTAATTATAGTCAAAAATGATTGTCTCCTATATCAATTTTTTCTTCACGAATTACGTCAATTTATTTACTCGCGGAAGATCAAATAATTAGTGTCAGGTGATTATTTGTCAAGTAAACAAAATGTGTTCCATTTTTAAATAAATTTAAAAAAAAAAAAAAAAACAAGTATTTTTCTAGATAGATAAAGCAAGATATATTCTAATTAGATAAGATATATATATATATTTTTAAGATAGATAGATAGATAGATAGATATATATATTTTTATATTTCTAAATTATCATTCAAATAATAAAGATCACGATAAACGTAATAAATAAAAAAATTCCTACAAAATGAACTTATTTCTTGATTGCTTTGCTCGTCTCTTCCGCTATTGCTGATTTGATATTTTTGTTTTTGAAATATTGTGGAAAGTAGTATTTAATTTTGTTTAAAAGTCAGTCATTTTATCATCTATAAAATTACAAATTACACATTGTAAATCTATAAATAAATATATTTAATTACATTAAATTAAAAGGTGAAAAAACATTTCTCTCATTTTCAAAAAAAAAAAACATTTGATTATTTCTCTCATTTTCAAAAAAAAAAAAACATCATTCAACGTATAACATATAATAATAATAAACTTGTGTTTTTAATTTCTTGCTTTTTTTTTTTACATTTAAATCTTTTCTTCATAATATAAATTTAAGAATTTAATAAAGAAAACCATCATATATATACATATATTTTGGCATAAACCTTGTTGTAGGATAGATTGAATTGAATAAAATATAACTATTATTTTAACAAAAAAATATATATATATATTAAATTAGAAAGAAAAAAGGATAATATATATATATATATATGAAAAAAGGGATATAATAAAAATATATATATATAAGAGAAGAGAAGAGAGTAAAAAAAAAAAAAAGAAAGTAAAAATACCCAATATTTATTTATTTATTACATGAGATGTATTTTATGTGTAATTTATGTAAGAGAGATATATATATATTTCCACTATATAATAATAATATAATAATTTGATATATGATAAAAGAAAGGTAAAATAAAGAAATTCATCACAATATACATAAATACATATATATAAATATAAATATATATGATCTCGATGAATTCTCGGGGAAAAAAAAAAAAAAAAGTAATAATATAGGTAATATATAATAATAAAATAGATAGATGAAGTAGTAGTAGTAGTAGTAGTAAAAAGAATTTCGTTGATTATGTAAAAGAATAATAAACGACGAAAAAAATAATACAAGAAAATTTGAATTATGGTAATAATGTAAGAATGTAAATATTATTCTCGTAAAAATAAAGCGTATTTTTTTACAGTACAGTTATTATGTACATTTTTAAAAAAAAAAAGCATAACAAAAAAATAAAAAGTCAAAAAACACACACACACACACACACACACACACAGTAATTATTTTTTTTGTTTGCCGCTTTTTTTTTTAAAAAAGAAAAATTAAGATGCTCGTTTAAAAAAAAAGTCGGGTGCAGAAAATTAAACATAACTTCTCCGCAGTCATTAACATAAAAAATATATTCACACACACGCTAAAAAAAAAACTATTATGATTATGATGAAGATGATGAAAGATGATGAAAGATGATGAATAAAAAAAATGTAGGGAAGGAATGTTATATGCTGAGATAGAGAAACTGAATTAATTACATATTAAAAAATTAAAAAAGTGGGGAAAAAAAACCCCACTCAATCAATACTTAAAAAAAAAAAAATTACAACAAAGGAAAGTTCCAGCTTCTTCCTTTAATAGGTAAGGTAAAAAAAGATTAGGTGAAGAATCAACCAACTCAACTGTCCATCACAAAGATAAAAAAAAAACCAAATATATTAATATTAGATCAGATTAAAAATTAATTATATTTAGGCTTTTCGAATTATCACAAATTATCACCACCTACATATCACTGATCACCACCCGATATATCACTCATACAATATTAATATTAATTAATTATTGTATATTAGTAACTCTGAAATGTATGATGATTATAGATTTCTAAAGGTAACATCTGATTTTGATAATAATTTGGCATTGATGTAGCAACGGGCTGTGACATGGGTGAAGATGATGATGTGGTGGTTGATGTTGGTGATACGGCAACAAGAACATCACCATGATTATGTGGACTACTTGAACCACCCCTATTTCGATGATCTTCGGTAGAATTTGAAGTATTGCTATTGGAGGCGGTTACAACATTTGAAATTATATCAGATGAATTTGTATTATCACCATATTCAGTAGGACTTAATGAAACTATAGATGAAGCCGGGGAATTTTGATTTGAAATTTGTTCATGTTGTTGCGAATGTGGTGGTGGTGGTGGTGATGATGATGAATTTGGATGATTTGGATGATTTGGATGATTCGGTGAATATAATATTGGTGAATGTGATGAATTCGTTGTGGAGAACATAAAAGAACTTGGAACTGTATTAACGGAATCTTGCATCAAAAATGAATCGCTAAAATTTGTGATACCAGTGTGAGAGTTAGGTGATGAATGTTGTTGAAATTCTCCCATAATTGTATTAAATGCTGGATGAGAATCTGTTGAAATTGTTAAAGGTTGTGACACCGAGGATGTTACTTGCATTGTAGAATCATTTATTGAAGTATTGGACGAAGTTGATGATGAATTGCCATTCATTAAATTGTTATCGTGATGATTTGGATGAGACGCGAATATGTTACCATAAGGGGCAGGAACTGATGAAGGGACGGTAGGATTAACAACTGATGTTGGTGACAAATTTGACTGTTCAGTTTTAATAGAGGTTGTCTGTTTATCATTTAAACGCAAACGCTTTGGTGAAGGAATATCATGTGAGGGCACATGTCTGGTGTAACCACATCTGTTAACTTCTTGAAACAATTGAAGTTCTATGATTTTTATTGAAAATAATTTTATAATAAATAATAAATAAATAAACAAATAAATAAATAAATAATAAATAAATAAATAAATAAAAATAAATAAAATAATAAAAAAGAAAAAATCAATTTTTATAAAAATAATAATAATAATTATAATAAATACCTTCTGGTGAAGAATGATATGTCACCAATTGTGTTAATTGCATCAAGTGAGTGTGATGCTTTTGAAGATCTTCAGTCAAACTACGAACTTCGGGAAGCAAACGTTCATTGACAATTTCATTCATATGTTTTAGATCTTTTCTTAAATTCTCTGTGGTCGTAGTTAATTCAGCAATTCGTTTACGCATAGCAATATCACTATCAGATTTGTCAACGTGTGCCATAAAATCTTTTGATTCATAAGAACTTAGCAAGTGATGTTGTGAAGGTGAATCCTTTGTTGTGTTTCCATTTTTATTATTCACAGGAGAACCTCCATAAATGGAGGTGGGAGAAGAGACAGTATTCGGTGGTTCTCCTTGATTTTGTGATATTGATGAATCTGATGGACGCATCTTTCTTCTTGGAGTTTTTGAAACTTTGCGTCTTATATTTGGTAATAAATCTTGTCTACTGCGTCTAAATTGAGAATGTGAAAATACGCAAGCATGTTTGCTTCGGACATGTTTTGATTTACGCGCATCCGAAACTCGGTAGAAACCATAAATCTATCAAGTACGAAATAGATTAATAAATTTAATAATAATAATAATAATAATAATAATAATAACAAATAATAATAATTATTATTATTATCCCATACATTTAGTTGTCGGACGAAAGAAGTGAACTTGCAATGTTTAAAGTATTTTGGTAACACATTTTGAGCAAATTCATCCATATTACAAATCACAAATACATCTCCAGTTTCATTCCATGTAAGATATTCCTTATATTCATCACTCTCAAGTAATCTAATTTCATTAGGTAATCATCCAAAGTAATAATCCAAGGAAATCATCGGAAGGAATAATAATAATTGAATAATCATTAATTAGAATTGACAAAAAAAAAAATTGATAAGAAATTTTTCAATGCATTTACGAAATGAATTCATTATACTTACTGATATAGTTTTGCGACGAAAACTGATACCGTGTCAAGATCATACTTTCCAGTTTCTTCCTGGAACAAATTGTCTCCTTCCGAGCATGCCGTTAGATGTGAAGCATTATCATTATATATTCCATAAGATAACATTTCATTTGTTTGAGATGGCATTATCATAGTATTACGAATGTGTTCATTCGATGTCATGACAGATTTGTGTAATAACGTGACTTATTTTATCTGACCCAAAAAAAAACGAAATGATTTATTTCTGATTGATCTTTTAAATTGAAATCTTCGCTATTATTTTAAATAAGTGTCAAATAAGTGAAAGATCCGAAAGTAAAGGATCTCGAAAATAAAGAAGAATTCGGATATAACGGAAAGAAGCTGGCGGATACAGATAAAAATATAAGAGAGAGGAGGATAAGGTAAAGGGAAGAAGAAGTATTGATAAAAGAGATAAATAATATAAAAGAGATAAAGAAAGAATGAAAAAAGAAAGGAAAGAAAGAATAAGAAAGAGTTAACAATAAGATAGACGTGTGTGGATTACTAGTGATAAAAAAAAAAAACGTAGTGTATATTTAGCTATTCGTTTTTTGCGTTAGAATAAATAGAAGGTGTTCGTGAGTTTGTGTGTTTAGTCTGTCCAAAATCGTTATTATTTCTTAAAGATTGATATCTTTTTTAACACGTTTGAAAAGAGATTTCGTTCAATAAAGGTAAAGAAATACTTGGAAACGAAACACACAGACCACCACAGTTTGTACTTTTGTTTATGCAGCAGCAAACGAAAGTAATAAAAAGCCGGGACATTAACAGCTTTGACGCTTTTTTATAATTTTTCTAGAGAGCCTTCCGTGTGTGTGTGTTTTGTGTTTTATAATAACTAAGAGCCAACTATTTTACTTTTTGGTGGTACTACTAACTATATGCAATTTGCAAATTTGAGGAGGAAAGCAAATAGTGCCCTTTTTGATATACATAACATATTATATAATAATAGATTATAAAATAATAGATAATAAAATAAGATTATAATAATAGATGTATAAATAATAATAAAAATAAATATAAATAATAGAAACAATAAATAGAATAAGTTTATGTTATGTTAGACAGTTTTATAATACAGCTTATAACAAATTATGACAGGATTTTTCATAACTGGAAATATCATTTTAGGCAAGTATACTTTTTTTTTTTTATTTATAATTAACAAAGTAAATAAAAAAAATGTATACAAAAATATATTTAGATATATATATAAAAAAAAATACATGTTTATTCAATAAATACAATATAAGTTATTTATACAGTATTCAAATATATTATCATTATTCTATCTGTGTGACAAGATTCAATTTGCCAAGAAAAATAAAGAAGTGAAAAAGAGAGAGGGAAAGGGAAAGAAAGAAAGAGAGAGGGAAAAAAAAAGGAATATTTAATTTAAAATAATTAATTAAGTTAATTTAGACAAAGGAAATTAATGAAAAACTATAAAAGTGTTAATTGATTAATTATTAGTAATAGAATAAAAGTAATATTCATCTCATTATGAGAGAAAATTGTTTGAAACAAATAAATAGTGAATTACCATTTTAAATAAATTTTCCCGCCTTCTCATTATATTGGAGAGAAGTGAAATGCATTATTGATATTATTGATGATTATTGATGATTATTGATGGCAGATTAACAACAATAACAAGTAATAAATTAGCAGGTTTCAAATGATTTCACTAATTCCACGAGATTAATTGATTTTAATTAGAATTTATAATTATAAATTCTAATTTTAATTTAATAATTAATAATAATAATAATAATAATTTAAAAATAATAATAATTAAAAAAATAATAATAATTAAAAAAATAATAATAAATAAAAAAAATAATAATAAATAAATAAAAATAAAAAATAAAAATAAAAAATAAAAATAAAAATAAAAACGAAATGAAAATATGAAAATAAGAGAAAAGTATCGACGACAAACAGGAAAAAATGTGACCTTGTATCAAAAAATGATATAAAATCATAAAACGAAAATAATAAAAAAAATAATAATTAATCCAGTCAATTATAATTAACCCCAGTAAATTAGCTCACATTCAAATGGTCTCTTTTTATTTGACGCCTCTTATACCTTTAAAGGAAGAAAGATAATGCATAACAATATTGAGAATTACTTTAAAGAGATTATAAATAATGAAATGAATAATGCATCATGTATAATGCGTTCACTGTAATTAGGGACTAGTATGAAATAATTATAATAATTATGGATTATTTATGAATTACTTTTTTTCTAAAGAATAAAAAATAAAAAGGAAACGTGGAAATTGGTTTAATGGATTCAATTTATTCAAATTTACTCATATTTGTTCATATTTGTTCATATTTATATTCATTTTTACTCAAATAATAGTGAAGTTATTATTAAATTTGAAATTATCACGAAATTACTAATGAAATTAATAAATATAAAAAGAAATATTCATTAAAAATGATGTTTAAATTTTGACATTGTAAGAGTTTCTTTGTCTTTCATTTTTTCATACTTTAATTTTTTCATTGTTAAAGAAAATATGCATCAAGTCAATAATAATAGACAAAGAAAAAAAAAAAAAAGGCGAATTTGGCATATACGGAGGTTTTTTTTTTCAAATATTCATGCCTACATTATTAGTCGATCAATATTATTGGCGACAAACAAAGCGATTACCAAAAAAAGAAATAATTCTTAAAGAAATATATGCACCTAATTATTATTTGTTTTAAAATAACTGTACGAAAAAATAAAATGCAAAAATATGTTTGGCACTCTCTTAGCCGCCGTATAACTGAATAATACTGAATACAATTTTACTGAATATATAATTTATTAATCCTCGAAACAATTGATAAAACAATAATTCTTTCTGTGCTTGAATAAAAAAAGTCTGAAATGATTTTATAAAAGGAAATGATGTAAACATTAAACAACATTAAACAACATTAAACTACATTAAACTATATATAAAACGGTTAATGCGTTTTCAGCCAAATTGTCCAATTTAAAAGTTAACTAATTTTAGTTTGTGACTGGTTGTTTATAAACGTGGCCGGATAATATTACCATTATAAATACTTTTTTAGGTTCTGAAAATAAAATTTACAAAAGTAAGTCTATAGAGACAATGTTTCTCAGTATTTAAAAACTTCATGATAATGTTTTGTAAGCGTCTTGTTTTGTTGGTGAATGAAAATATTTGATATACGAAAGAGTTTGATATATGAAATGTGTTTGATATATTTAAAAATGGTAAGAAAATGTTTGGTATATGATAACGGAACCAAATCTATGGAATTGAATAACGTTAAACATTATCATCAAGAATGGTAAAATTGATTTAAAAACTCATAAAATTCGGGGACCACAGAATTTTCAGATGTCAGGACAAGCGCCATTTTATTCATTTCTATTTATTTATTTTTTTTATTAAATAATTTTTTTTAATAGATTATTTATGTAGAGATAATTTATATCTTTAGGTTATCTATTTCTATAATTACCATTCTGTAATAAAAAAAAAGATATCTATATTTTGTATTCTCCGAGACTAAAATTTCTCCGTAGCAGGAAAGATTTTACACGATAATCGCAGTATTTCCATGTTTACCGTTGATTGAAATGAAAGAAAAATAGAAAAATGTTTAGAGCATTTTTTTTATTGATCGGGGCATGTAGGAGTGAGCTCATTGTATGAAACGCCAATTTCTTATCCATGAAATTTTTGTCGAATTATTTTTTTCTCCGCAAAAAAAAACAAAAAAAAATACACAAAAAAAAATACACAACAAAAAAAGTACACAAAAAAAAACACAACAAAAAAAAAACAAGCACAAAAAAAAAACAATAACAAAAAGAAAACCAACAAAAAGTGGTTGTCCAAACGTATATGGTTTATATTTGTGTGACATTGCAGATATATTATAATATGAACTTTATTAAAGGAAAAATTGTAACAAACAAAATATTAAAAAAATACTATTTACACATGCAGCAATAATAATAATTCTTGAACTAAATAATAATCATTATAACCCATTAAAACGTTCAAATCAAAAAAAAAAAAAAAAAAAGCACAAATAATTGAATACCCGATTACTGTGGTTACTGTGTAATTTCTTTATAAGCATATGAAAATTATTCTTTACTTGATCAATTGCAGTAATGAATGAATTATCTATTAATTATTTAATGTAATGTATTCTTTTCCTTTCCACCACACAACAATCAACGGAAAGAATTAAAAGAATTATTAATGGATGATGATCTTATTCCATTGTCGTCGTCGCTGTCTTCATCACTTTTCCAAGATTTAATTTACAGTAATTATTATTATTAATATCATTACTATTATTATCATTACTATTATTATTATTATTATTATTATTATTATTATTATTATTATTATTATTATTATTATTATTATTATTATTATTATTACTGTATTACTATTATTATTCCCCCAAAAAATTATATTTTTTCTTTCTTTTAATCATTTGTATTACTTTTATAGATTTTGTTTGTTTATCATTTATCGCCATTGTTGAATCTTTCCGTTAAACTCGCTTTCAACCAAAATTAGCAATTGACAATCATAAAATTAATTATTTTATTATTATTTATAAATAAATAAATAAAAAAAAAAAGAACCAATTATTTTTCTTTGTCAAAAAAAAATATCTTTAACTATAATAACGTTATATCAACAACGTGACATTTATTTTGTTGCATCAATCTGATTACACGTGATATCAGCCCCGTCTTGGTTAAAAAACGTTTATTGGTGTTTTTTTTAATATTAATAATATCAGATATAGATATAAATCTATTACGTTTTTCCAATAAAACTGCTTTAAATGTTTAAAATTGAACGTATTATTTACTCTTGTAATTTAATTTGCAGTACACTTTAAATGTGAATCACAATAAAGATTTAACAAAATAAAAAAAAAAAAATAAAAATTTATTTCTCAACAGGTTGAAAAGATTTTGAATTTGTTTGATCACTAATTTGTTTATTAGCAGCACTCCATTCCAAGGATTCCTTATAATAAAAATATAAAAAAATATCTTAATAAATTATTTTTTTTTAAAAAAAAAAAAAAAAACGGAAAAAGATTATTGTCTGGAGGACATTATACTTGTTTATCAAATTTCTTCATTTCTTCAATTTCATTTTCAGGTTTTACATTATTTTTATCAAATGCAGTTTTTGTGTGAGCAACTTGATTTGTGGTACCAGAATATGTTTGTTCCGTTTTATCATAAGGTTTACTAAATTTATCATCATCATCATTCTCCGTGTCATTATTATTATTATTGTTATTATTATTATTGTTATTATTCTTCTTGGTAGAATAATAAGAAATAACAGGGAATCGTGTAAAGGAACGAAATTTCCAAACTAAATGTGAACAATTCATTTTCCTTTTTCTTTTTTTTTTGATAAAAAAAAACTGGGTTATTTAAATATGTATATTTCGTTAATTACGTCAATCTTAAATCATAGTAATGGGTCAAATTAACGCACGCACGTGAAAATTCGCTCAAAAGATTTAATTCGAAAAATTATCAATCACCATGGTTACATTAACATTCACGTCTTTGAACTTCATAGAATTTAATTACTTTATAGTTATTTCTTTAAAGGTTGTAATATTTATTGGATCTCTAGCTCTCAAAATGATCTTCACTTTGAAGATAACATAATAAAATTATTTTTAATAAGTTAGATTAATAATTATGAAAAATTTATTAGTATTTTTTTTTAAGAAAATAAAGAAGTTTTTTACAAACTTTTTTTATGTTTTCTATCATAATGTATCATAATGTATCATAATGATAAACTTTATTCATTTGACAGTCTAATCGGGCGAATTTGTATTAAGTTCTAATAATTAATTTTATCATTGTTAGGCGCGAAATCACTTTTACAAATGGAACAGTATATTTTTCCTTCTATGGTGGTTGTCTCTTATTGTTGTATATTTAATAGATTTTCTTGGGTTTCGTGAATAATATTAAGAGTTATTTGAGTTGATGTTTAAAGATTCAATATTTTATTATTTTTTGAACACTTTCTATTGCTTTTTATATTGACTCATTTTTCTTTATTTATACTTACAGCTCTTCATATTTTTTTGTTAGTTGGATTAATCTTTAAAACTTCCTGACGTACAATAATTTGTATTCGTACCGAACCTTCAATCTTGTACACTCCCCTAGCAAAGTATTTGTGGAATGATAAAATTCGAAAATAATTGCTAAAATTAAAATGCTAATTGTGGCACAATGAGTGATCTAAATTGTACAAACTTTTTTTTTATTAGATTTCTCTAAACAAGGGCTAGATATGATATATTTTGTGATAAAATTGAACATCTATACATAGAGATATGATGCTTCAAATGAAACTGAAACAAAATAATAAATTTATTCTTAGATAGTTACCTATACCATATTCGATAGGTATCAAAGATAGTTGCCAACTATCTTATATGAAATTGTAGCCAAAACTAATATCTACAACTTGAATTATTGACGTTTTTCTTGGTATCAATAAAAATTTTGACATCAATTAGAAGTAAATAAAAATGACCGAAATTTAAAAAAAAAATTTAAAAAAAATAAAAAAATTCATTGATAATTTATATCTGAAAATCTTGATTATTTATTAACTTAACAATGGATATGATATTAAGTCACCTTAAAGCCTGAAATATGGAATGTCTTTTGTAAAAATTTTAGCTTTATATTGAGAATTGAAGATTAAACTTTAGAGTATAATTTTAAAACATCTGATATTCAACTATTAATATTAAACTTAATTCTCAATTCAAAAATCTGAAACTTTCACAGTAGATGTTCCATGTGTTAAACTTTAACTGTACTTAGTACTTTTTTTATTGTTATATTAATAGAAAAGGAAGTTTTTATATGTGGTTCCAATTAGTAATTATTTTTTGATTTTTTTTTTTGATTTTTTAAAAATGATCATAACAGATTGTAGAATTGATAAAATTTGAAAATGATTGACAAAGTTGTAACATATTAAAGTCAATTTTTTAATAATGAAATATAATAAATGCTTATAAGTAACCTTAAAGAATATGACAAAATACATATAATATATAAATTTAATATCTATCTTTTGAACTACTTTAATAACCATATTTGGACCACTAAGTAAACAGCTTTGACAAATTTTGAACTTTATATATTCAAATTTCATAATTTTTTGATATTTATTAATTAAATAATTTGAAAAAATAGAAAAAATTATAAAAAAATTTTAATGTTAAATTTTCTCATGATTTTATTGTAAAATAGATATGAAATTTTGTAAAAACATATTAGTAAAAGATAATACTAATTCAATAATTTATTGGATTACCTTTATATTGAATTACCTTTATTTTCAATTATACCTTTAATTCTTTGTGACATACTATTAATTAATTTAATTAAAAATTTATTCAAATTATTCCATTCTTCTTGTAATACTTTAATTAATTCTGTTTTGTTTTTTAGTTTTTGCTCATGTTTTCTTATATTTCTATCCAATTCAGACCATAAATTTTCAATTGGATTTAAATCTGGACTTTGTGCAAGTCAAAGCAGACTATTAATTGATTTTGATTCTTTCCATTCTTTAACTTTTTTTGCAGTATGACAGGGGGCATTATCATCTTGATAAATATAATCAAAACAAATTTCATTCAAAAAAGATAAAAGATACTGATTAAGTAATTCTATATATTTGTACCATTAATACTATCTTCAACTAAAACTGAAGGTTCTTTGTTATATTTTGTAAAAAATCCCTAAACCAGAATACCATCTGATGTTTGACAGTAGGCTGTAAACAATCTTTATGATATTTTTCATCTTTGTACACCACACCTATTGCTGAGAATCATTTTGGAATATTTCAAACGTGATTCATCATTAAAAATAATTTTTCCCATTCATTATTCCAGTTTTTTCTCTCTTTATACCAATTTAATCTTTTTTTGAATTTGATTCTGAAATTAATAATTTTTTCTTAGCTACTCTTCCACAGTATTTTGGCTCATGTAAAACATGCATTACAGTGTCAGTACTAACTGTAAATTCTAAAGAATTATTAAATTATCAGTTAATTCTATAATTGAATCTGCTCTATTGTCTTTAATAATTCTTTCTAATTGTCTTTTATTAGTTTCAGTTAGTATTGCAGGTCTTCAAGTTCTAGGAACATTGGAAGTTGTACCTTTTACTTTATTAAGGTTACTAAATACTGTATTTGACATTTACTTATTAAAATAAAGTATTTTTTATGTATAATTATAACTTATAAGAATCAGAAATAATTTATCATTGTTACTACATATTAAACTTTTTATTACAATAATATAATATTAAGAATGCCACTAAATAATATTAAAGACAAGAACAAATTACACTTTTTTTAAAAATAATAAAATGATATCATTAAAATTGAGAGAAATATAAGTAGATAATCTTAAAATGAGAAAAAAATTCAATAAAGCAATCATTCGTTTAATTTTGATGAAATCAACTTATATATCTTATAGAAGATATAATTAATTTTTGTCTTTGAGATTACTTAGTACTGTTTTTAACATTTTCTTATTTTTTTTTTAACTATTGAAGTCTTGTTAGACACTTTATTAAATAAAACAAATGTTGAATTTACATGTTGTGTTCTAACTATCTACTCTAAACTAAATTATTACTAATTTAATCTAGACGACGGGTTGACCTATCAACATCCACAAAGTGGAAATTGATAGTCAAAGCTCAATCAGTTAATATAATTATAATAATATTTGTAGAAAAGAATGTTTCCATGCATAGTTAGTAAGTTATGTGAAGTTACTACGTGTTTGAGAGAGGAAGTGTATAGTTGTTTATATGATTTATGTTTATTGTTTTTACTGTCTTTTGTTTTGTTTCTATTTGATTTTTTAGGGACTCTGGTAGTTGTATTTCTTTTTTGTTTTCTTGTTATGTTTTGATTTTCTTTTCATTTTAGGATCTTTTGAATTTGGTGATATCAGGTTTGTTCTAGTTTGGTTTGAATAAATATTTATATATTAGTGTTTATTATTTTTGCTGATGTTTTGAATTTTGTGATTGATTTTATCTTCTTTATTAATGATCTAAATATGTATCCTTTTATTGTATCAAGAAAATATTGTTCAGCTAATTCATTTGGTGTGATATTTGTTTGCCAGTTCTTGACTCAAGGTCTGTTTTATCGAGTCAAGTGTTATATGTTTAGTATTTTTTTTTTTCTTTTGCTTTTATTTGTTTTGCTACTAATTGTATAGTTTTTTTAAGTATAGTATTAATAGTATATGGTTCCTCTAATGCTAAGCATGTAAATACATGTATATTTGTTTCTTTTTCTTGATTACAGAATGGACATTTATTTGTAATATAAATTTGTAAATGGCATTAATGGAGCTTGTCCAGTATTGGGAGTTCATTGTTTTGTGACTAGAGTTTGAATGAGTGTTGTCTGGTATTTTCAAATGAGTTAGAATTCTGATATAATGTAAATAGATGATTTGTTTTTTGTGTAGGGTGCCAGTTTATGTTATGTGATTTTCTTTCAGAAATTGAATTTAATGTATGATTTTGAGTTCTCCATTTATAAACCGCTGCTATATGATTAATTGCTTGAATAGTTTTTTTGATAAGTTCTTCTATGATTTTGTTCTTGACACTGGTCAAAAATTGATAAAACATACACATATCGGGTACCCGATATGTGCATGGTGTTTCCCTAATATCGGGCATATATCGGGTA